GACACAAAATGAGCTACTCACAAAGCTACCAGCTTCACCTGGGACACAAATCCAGCTAAAAGTATGGCTGAGAAGACCTCGTGTTATCCATCTATACACCCACTTTCCACTTGGTCACAACTTTTCTCTGCCAGCCCTAATCCTTGACCCAGGGAAACAAAGTTTAGAAACAATACAATCTGCTCAGCAAGCCTATGCCTTTAAAACTAGCGTGACCTCTGTGTTAAATCACACTGTCAGTATGAGTCTGTCTGCAGAGCTATATATAATTACCCTGCTTTCCATTCCTTCCCTCTTTGTCAGCTGATACCAGGCTTATTAACAAACTGTAATTCTTCCGCTAGTCCTTGTTTTCATTCAACATATCTTGGGGCCTTAGCTTAACCATCTTTTTGGTTTTAATTTCTTGGACAATTTTTTCCTTCTCTTTTGTATTCTTCCAGCCGGCCTCCTCTCTGGGTCCAGTCTATCTTCTGGTAATTTACCATGTTCGTAAGTCACCCATCTATCAATGTTAGCCTCCTCACGCTAAAAGGCTCACATATGGGCATCCAGGAGATAGAAAGGAAGAAGAAGTTCATAAAAAGGAATGAGGTCACTTCAGGTACAGGTGTGCTTCTACCAAATTTACATGTATTTTAAAGATAGGGTGAGGAGAAAATATTTGATTTTAATTAGTTGTTGCTAATTGATGTATTACATTCGTCCAGAGATAAGTACAGTATTGGGTTTTGCTCCCCTGCTGTTTTTCCATAAGAAAAAGTGTAGCATTTGGTCAACATCACTTCAACATATAAAATAGTTTCCTGACATGGTAAGGTATTCTGCAGGGTGACATTAAAGCATCCAGTATTTATACAGAATATCACAGGACATGGAGGCAGCTTGTTTACTCCTTTCCCAACATACCCTGATATTCAGGCATGCATTTATGTTAGGGTGCTGTTCCTCAACAGATTTATGTTATGAGTTACCATTCAATATAAAATTTCCCCTTCTCCCTTGATAACAGAATTTTTAGCAGACATCTGCTTGCCCAGAATGCAGACTGTCTTTCCCAGCCCTTATTGCTAGGTGTGACCATGCAACTAAGCTCTAGCATATGAAGGTGAGAGAAAAAGATGTGTACACCTTCTGGGTTCTGCCTTTACACAGGAGCGTGGCCACCCCTGCACCCTTTCCTCTTTCCACTGACTTGAATATGAATAAGGGCTCAAGGGGACAGAGCAGTTAGATAAAAGAGGTCCGGGGGTTTGAAAACATAGAGCCTACATATTGGTCAGAAGTGCTCATACCCAGTTATTATGAGTGTGTGAGAGAAAGATGCTGTTTAAGCCACTTTTATGCTGGTTTTCTGTCCTAGCAGTGAAATCTATAGCTTAAATGATACAGTTAGTCTATTGTTGAAATGTGAAGTTTGCTCAAATGTTCAGATCATTTTTGCCTTATCTTTTGGGGTTTATCTTGCTTTGTAACATGGATTACGTCTTATGTGAGCAAATAAAAATATGTTCTTCCATTTATATAACTATTATGGTCATTCAAAAATTTGAGAACTATTTAAATAATCTCTGGAGAAGACTGAATTTTGGACTCTCTCTAATTAGTAAACCACCATCAAGAATAAATATACTAGTTCTTTAAAAAAAATCTAACCTCAAGTCTTTCCCTACATATTTTCCATCTTCACATCTCATTTGGTTTAAAGTGACCACTTCTTAGACTGTCTCCCTCCTCCAGATTTCTCTGAAATTTGTCTCTGAGAATCACTCTTAACCTTAACCAGCTGCCTTACCCCGAAGACCCACCCACGCCCTGTAAGTGTTGGTCATATGCCACGCGACCTTCTGACTCATTTTACTAATGTCTGCTCGTAATCTATTTGGTTTTCCTTTGATTTCAGTGGCTTCAATTTAATGATATATTTCATCATATTTATGAGAATTATTAGCTTAAAAGGGTAATATTTACATATACTACCAACGCAGTCTTCTCCAGCTGAGACTCCTAATAAATATATGTGTGGCTATCCTTAATGGCCAGAAATATCATTGGAAAACAAGAAAAAAATACATCTTGCAAAACAACAAATGCCTGCCAAGATTTATAGGTTTCAAGGAATGATAATTTATATCTAAAGCACAATGATATCTCTAGAGCACTATTTCATTACATTCTGAGGATCACTCTGATAGGCTCTGTTTTTGTTTTCAGTTTTTTCAAGACTTAGAACCTTGATTATATCCTGACCAAAAAAAAAAAAATTCATGCTCATAGATTCAATGAAGGATTTGGTTCACTCATATGACCATCAGATATTGATCTGGTTTAAGTTCTCTAACTAAAATTTTATTAGCTTATATTCTATTTCACCTTTCCAAGCTCTAATCTTGACGCTGTCACCATGGCTGACAAATAGTTTTAAAGATTCAGACAATTAAGCAAACTTTTTTCAGGCTCCGGCACCTAATGCTTTAGACACGAAAATGTGGCTTGCTGTCTCTCTAAAAGACTTATCCATTTGAAACTAGTTGCGCCAGCAGAAGGACTCGAGTAGCTGATTGGAACTCTTCTTGCTATTTTGAAAAACTTTATAAATGTTTGTTGCTATTTCATAAATGTAATAATAATCATAATAACTTTATAGATAAAAGGTCATTTTGTGCCATGCAGAAAATCTTTCGAATAGTTTATATATCTAATATTATTTTGTTTTTGTACTTCCATTCATTGTATGCATTTCACCCATAATTCCATCACCTCTTATAAAAATTATACAAGGTAAAATGTGAAAATCCTCTGCTTCTACCCTTTTAATTTCATTCTCTCAAAGTAACTGCTTTTAACAATTTTGTGCCTATTTAGCCATAATTTTGCATATTCTTGTTTCATCATATAGAGAGGTTTATACTCCTAACTATATCTATATCATCTATCTATATACACATTTTGTCATATAAGGCTGAGATGTGCTATACATGTTGGTCTGTCATTGTCTTTTTCCAGATATACCAAATCATGAGCATCATTCAAAGTTAGTGCACATGACTCTCACTCCATCTTTTTAATGGCTGCATAGTGTTCCATACGACAGATAAACAATAATTAAGCAAATTCTTTAGTGATGGAAATTTGAGTTGTTTCCTTTCTTTGTCAGTAACATACAATACAATGAAGAGCATCTCTCTATATATTTTTATGGGTTTGTTTTATTATTTCTTTTGGTAAACTTCTAAAATGGCTAATTGCCAATTTGAAGATATTTTAACACTCTTTCAATAACAAATAGAACAAAAATTCCTACACATTTTGATTTTAGAAACTTCTGTCATAGCCCCATTTTTCCAGAATTAATTCCAAATCTGAAATTTTGCGTTTAATCTGTTTATCACAAAGCCTCCCAAATGGGTCATAGAGTCAAAGCAAATGTTCTACCAGACAATGCCATAACACTTTAGAATGATGAAATGCTTAAAATAGAATATTTAAGTTAGAACTTGTAAATGAGATATAATTACCACTCTCACAATGCAATCATGCTATAGTGACATGTCCAAGAGCAAATTCTTTCCAGCATTCTTAGTATTGATATAAATGTCCAAGTGGTGAGCATATGTTTCTGGAATTTTTAATGTTTCTGTCGGCAGTTGGGTAGGGTTTGTCTTATTTTAAGGGAGCTATGTCATAGGTCAGTTAATACTGTCTTAAGTCATTATTGCATTCCCTCCAACAGATTTGATGGGATATATGGGCATTTCTGAAAAAGTGACCTGAGCATTCCAATCATAACAACTTCATGGAGCATTAACATTTAAATATAATTTATATAAGGAAGGAAGAGTTTGCCAGAAGCACAGAATACTCTGTAGGCATACAGTTTGAGCACATTGATCTTTGCTGTAAAAACTTTGACTTCACTTAAACTAACTTATGACATGTTACTGATCTAGTTTGTTAGCAAAACCACAGTTTATGGAAACCAGATTTCTTCACCACAAAGAGAGCTGGAGATTCTTTTTCTCCTCAGTGTAGATAGCCTCAACTGAACAGAGCTAAGCACATTAGCTTCGTGTTAGCAGAATTGCCATTATAGATTGATGTATCAAGAGGGGCCCAAGGATGTTACACTAAAGTGTCTGATCTGCAGGGCTTTTTCAACGCCAAGGGCCATGTTGTATTTACAGAAGAAATTCTACTTGTATTTACACCAGGATTATAGAGCACTACATTCTTGGAAGAATTTGGGGGAAATCTTTAAAGATAAGACAAACTTTGGTCAACAGTTCACTAGCTAAACTATGCTTCTTGTAGCTCCACTCTAATCCTTGCTTCTCTCATTTGGAAACTTCCTGAGGGAACATGACATCTACAGGATTAGCCAAAGGGGACTTGGTATAAAAAAATAATTTCAGCGACTGATCCTCTTTAGTCAAGAGTTAAAGAAAAGTTGATACATCTATTGATAGCGAATGTGCCAGGGTATCATTTAAAATAATATCAGCACATTTTGAGGGATGGAGGAAGTACTATTGCTTTTATATCCATAAAAGGATCATTTTTAATGTGTCATTTATACTACTTTTATTATGATGAAATATGCTTTTTAAAGGGAGAAAGCAACAAGCTGAAATAAATGATATCAAATTAAAAAATACCATGACTGTCTTTCTAAAAATTAGAGATCACTGTTCAGATGGGCCTTGAAGTGTGCACTGTTTGGTAGCTATTTAATTCCAACTGAAGAAAGTGACATCAATTCCGTCTTCAACACAATTCCAAAACAGAATGTTCGTAAACAATGATAAATATTATTAGTGAAATGGATAGATTATTATATTTTAATTTTTACATATTTTGATGGTTTCCCCAAGAAGATACTCTTTGAGTTATACAGCTACACTACATTACACTATCTCTTTAATCCTAGCAAAATAGTAAGTGATGAAAATAAGGATATTTACAAAATTCCGAAAACCAGATAATCTGTGCATGTGTCTTACCTTTCTTTTGCGAAGTCTGACTTGGTTATCTGCGGGTTCCTGGGTGGCCAGAGTTTCCTTTAAGTGTAAACACTGCATACCATCTCCTGAGTTGACCCTTGGAAGACTTTTGTTTTGATGTTCTGAGAAACCACTCTTCTCCAGGCCATTTTCAGCTAACATTCCCCTAGGGCAAGAAAGAGGCTGCAGAAGGCAGTTTCCAGAATCTGGTTTTAATAATGGCAGTCCTCTGTCTGTACAAGGAATAGCCAAGAACTCCTCTTGTACTACACTGCAGGTGTTTCTTTCATGTTCATCTTTAGGGAAGTCGGGTTTCCTTCGTTGCTGAGCAATTACAGCAGAATTAAGTAATTGCTTCTCAGGCACAATATCTTTCACATTCAAAGAATCACATGCATCTATTTTGGATGCATCTTTTATTTCACTTAAGTTTATATCATTGCAAAGCTCCAGGCCTTTACTTATAATGTCAACAACTTTTCTCTCCCCCTTTTCTTCTACTAGCACTAAATCAGCTCCACCAGCCGTTCCCCAGGAGTTATAAGAATCTTCGTTACTTTCCATGATGGACAGTGTCTTTACCAAGGAGCCTGCTCCTCTGACACTACATTGGTCTGATGTTTTATGCTCTTGGGTAGTTAAAATCTGTTTATCATCTGTAAGGTATAGATCGGAATCGGTATCCTCATCAGAAATGTGCACTAGTGTTTCCGTGCTGGCCTCCAGAGAAAAAAACTGATCTTCACCTTCGTGGCTGTCATTTTCATCTACGTCTTTTGAAATGTGACCCATTGGCCTCCCAGGAAAATCTCTCAGCTCTGATCCAGGACAGCAGTCTGGTAGTGAAACACACTTCTCTTTGCGGTCCACATTTAGAGTTGCATCTTTTTCCATACTTGCCTGCAAGCTGTCAGCTACTAGTCCATGATGACATGCTGCGTTATAAGAATCAGAATTAAAAGGCTGTCCCATCCATTGGGTCACATGTTCTTCCCAGCTTCTCTTTCTGATAGCTGCAGACATGTCATCGTAGTTTAACAACAGATAGAGAGACACGTTCCATATGAGACTAGAGGAGATGGAGCTTCATTAATTATAACCTCAAATTCACTGATTGACGAAGAGAGTGAGTTTTGTCAGTTCACCACCTATTAAAAAATTTAAGAAAATATATAGTTCAGGATGTAGTTCTAAAGTCAAAACATATCATGGAAAAGAGAGAACTTAATCTGTGTTATGAAAGATTATGTAGAAGTTTTTATAAAGGTTCTGTTTAATAGCTTTAATAGTATTATTTCTTAATAGCCTAATATTAGAAGAAAATTTCACATTTAATATTTCTGGTAAAAAATCATTGACAATACTTTTAAGTGCAACTGAACTGGTTGATCTATCAATGAATAAAGATATAACTATTAAACATTTAAAACTCCACTAAGAAAATATTTGGATTGCAATATTTAATAAAGTTCACCGGAAGAAACTTGTTGCTCTAGCTTACATGCTTTGCTAAATTACTTTTGTGAACACAAGTCATTACCAAAGCCACGAGGGAACTGTTCATGCAAAAGTTGAGCTATAGAGATAGCACGTGTAATGCATTTGTGTGTGAAAGAACTAATACAGATTCCAAATTACCGGGATGTATTTACTCCAGGGAGTGACTAAGAGACATGGAATAATCCAGTTTAGTTCATAACGCATAATTCATGGATAAGAAAGCATAACACATACATTTACAATGCCTCAGGATAAATACATTTCCATGCATTCTGTTACTACTACTACTACTAGCTAGCAAGTTAGTGTTAACGAAGCTCAGAGAAATTAAATAACTTGCCCAAGATTATCCCATTGAGGAAGTAAGCCAAGATTCAGACTAAGCCCTGGTCCTAAGGCCTAGGCTGACAGCCAACAAACTTCACTGTCTCCATGGAATGACAGCCTACCTCCGCCCCTTCTTTCCACGTGTCTTTAGGATGTATAAAATCTAAACTCTGCAGGGAAGAGTTCCAGTGAGCCAAAAAGAAGATGTGAGCAAGATAACACAATTGGGACAATTCTTCAGAAATTTCAGTCTCATTCTCTTTGGCTCCAAAAGAGTTTAGTTTGTATACTTCTGTTAGAATTTGGCCATAAAAATTTATGTAAACAAGAAAACCAGGCATAAGATAAGGTCAGAATATAAACACATTCCAGGTATCCATCCTTTCGCCTTGAATTATTCAAATCCTTAGTTAAAGGAAGCAAATTCTATCAGTGTAAACTCAGTCTTATAAAAATGACTAACCTAAATGTCCTGTATTGAAACCAAATTACTGGACTATAAAAGAAAAATCCCATTCAAAGAGCAGACACTTCTAGTTTTTACTCCACACAAGAACCATCAGCACATAACATGGGCTGGCTTATTGGTTTCAGCCATAAACAAGATTAACTACTGTGCCGGTTTGGGGTCACTTCAGTCTATTGAAAAGGACTCCGACTCCCCACCAAAAATTTCAAGGTATTTTGACCAAGCACTTGCCAGAAAGGTAAATATCCCCATCGTGTAAAGACCAGTGGAGTTGAGGAATGTACTAGAATTTGGTACCTCGGCCTGACCAAATATCTTTCTGGATACTGTTTGGTTCCCTCAAAGGTCTGTGACCATCTTTGAAAATGGTCAGCATTCACATTTTCCATGTTGGCATTCATTTTGCACTCAAAAGAAAATATAAAGTCCCTGAATTCCATGCATAAGTCATTATAGTGTGGGAGGCTGCGGAAAGTGGAAAAAACGCATAGATGCAGGCCAGAAAATTTCTGCTTTCATGGGCAGATTTGGGTTGTAATAGGGCGGTTCTGTTTTAGATGCTTTCTTTTCTTTATTTTTATCCAGTGTAGAAAGAGCACGGTAACTTAAGAAATGCCAAGTGGTGTTACTGTGTCATTCCTAAGCCACATTTACATTTAAGTTGAGACTGAATTCTGGTTTCATTTCTTTTACTAAGGAGAAATAGAGTTTTATTAACCCCTTGGGGAACAGATTACATAAAAATTTTGCCGTTAAGACCATACCATAATATTAATTAACTTATTTTACTCAACCTTGGCAAGTAGGTAAGTATTTTTATAATGTCAAGGAAGACAGTTCTACAAGTCGTGAGACAATCTAGCTACAAAGAGGGATTGTAAATTAGACAGACGCAACACAGCATTAACTCCTTATGTTCTAACTTCTCATCTAGGTTCTTTGGACATTTTCAAATGATTCCTGTGAATGTACAGTGTCTTTATTTTTAGACATAAATCTCCTAATTATCATTATGACCATCATCACTACCTTTTGAGTATTCAGTCCATATCCTGTGATCTGATAGATGTTTAAAAAATTTATCTCTACGAGCTTTCTTATTCATACTTCCTATTTAAATTCTGATTTGTAAGATTTATGGTTAAAATCTGCCTCCAAGATCTAAAGGCTAAACAGAATATTAATAAAAAGAAACCTTGGATTATTGTCATTCGCATCTGAGCACATTGGTCTCATTTTCTAAATCATCTCAATTGACTAGAATCCATTCTATAAGATTGAAATGTCTTTGTAAAAAACCTGACTTTCCCTATGTGTCTCCTCACCAGGCAGCCTCATTTAAAATTATATTTCTAACTACTAACCACCTATTTTGCAAATTTCTATTACATTTTTTTTGGTAATCCCTTTATACAGTTTCATTCAGAATGAGCTCAGCTGCTCAGGACTTGGATGAAAGATCTGGAAAAGCATAGGTCATTCCAGGGTGTTGATTTTATGAAGTGTATTTCCATGGGGATTTTTTCTTTCTTAAATTCATGTATTCAAACAGAACTGTATTAATATTAAAAGATACTCAATGTACCTCTGATTATGAAACAATTCTGGAAAATATTTATGAAATGTCCAAATTCACTTTTTTTGATATTAGTGCGTAGGATGTTTAGACACAAAGTGATTTAAAATTTATTGTTTGGGTTAATTTTGTAACAGTTTACCGTCAACTGACATAAGCGTTTTTTGGCATACAGTATATATTTTAAAGTTAATCAAAACCAACAAGAATTGGAGACATTCTAGTTTGAGAATCACTGACCTATGTTTGATATCAATCATGCTCTCCTTTGCACTTGCTTCTGAAATAAACACATACCTTAAATTTGAACCTGGCAATTGTGCCTGGGAAGAAGAACCTGATGATAATCACTATTGTTGATGCTATAGCCTGGGAGAACATGGCGCAAATGAAATACTTGTGGCTAAAAACCAAGTGGGCAGTACTGTAGAACTGACAGCAATGCTGTCTTATCTTAATCATTTATTCAACAAGTGTTTATTCAGTGCCTAATGGGCCATAGACACTCTGCTAAACATTGGGAATGTAAACCTAAATAATATATTCTACCTTACCTAAAGGAGCTTATAATTTTAAGGGAGAAACTCATGTAAACAAAAATAATAAGTCCTCTCATGGCCATAAACACCATGGAAAGTTTAACACAAAACAGGGGGTCATCAATTCCTCTCTCCCTCCCTCCCTCCCTTCCTTCTTCCTTCCTTCCTTTTTTCCTTCTTTCCTTCTTGCTTTCTTTCTGTGAGTGGTGTCAGGGGTGGTGAACATGTTAGGTAGGGTTTCTAGGAGGAAATCCCTGAATGAGGCCCTCTGTGGTAAACCATATCCAGGTGAAATGGGAGTTGAGGTAGAGTTTCCTGCTCTATGGTTGAAGTCTTCCTTTCTTTCGGGCTTCAGATTCTTCCTATTCTAGAATCATCTCTTTGGGAAAGATAGCAGAGGCAACAATAAATTCCAGAGAATTACTTACAACTTTAAAATTCATTGGTCTCCTTGGAGGGAAACCACACTTCTCAGGAGTATCTCAGAGAAAATGGAGGGGAGACGTTTGTCAAAGAAAAAAATTTCAGAAAATTTCCCAGAACTAATGACCCAAGTCTTCAGGTTGAAGGGAATCAATAAAGTATGCAGTAATACAAGGAATAAAAATAGACTGCGCCAAGAAATAACTTTGTAAAATTTTAGAATTTTAGAGGTAAGCGAATGATCATAAAGGTTATCAGAGACAGAACAGAGAGTATTAAGCATCGGAAATCTGAATTAGATTAGATTTCTCAATAGCAACACTGGAAATAAAACAGTCAAATGAAAGAAAATGTAATCATAGTACACTGCTTGGCTTAGCTGAGAAAATTTTATGTAGCCAAAATAATGCAAATAGTAAATAGTGACTTAATAAAAAAAACTATGAAACAGCTATTTTTGGAGCACAGGATTTGTGGAGGATGGGGTTAGGGAGAGACGGTGGAGAGAATAGTTTCAGAGAGCTAACTCTTCGTTTTCTATAGTAGGAAGTTAACAGATAATGTCTAACTTGGAAAAAAAATAGTACAATCACGTTGTTTAGAAATGTGGAGGTAAACGTCAGGAGAAATAGCTAAAAACAATTTTAAATTATCATGATTATACGTGTCATTTGCTTGAGATAAAGAAAATTTTCTGAATCTCAGAAAGCATGTTAAATAATAATCTAAATTTTAATGTGTTCCAGAGCAGTAATTGTAACAAAGAGTTGATACATAAATATAGGTGTAGTTCCACTAAAATATGTCCAATGGGACCAAACTATTCCCTTTAGCCCTTCCCCTCTCACCCCATGACCCTCTCACAGTTACACATATTCCTGCCTCATACCTTAAGAGAAATAAAGGTGCCAGTTTGCATATTTATTTTGGGCCAAGGATGTCAGTACAGTATTCCATGAGATTCTTAGGTGATTTCTCTTGTGCCTTCCTTTCATCCCCCAACCCTTCTGGGAACTCCTGAAATTTGGGACAAGTATTCTTGGTAATCCTCTTCGCTCTAGTCTTTCTAAAATGTTATCTGAGTAAAAGTTTAAGATACAGAAATACGTAAATAGCCTAAAATGAGTAAATGCATGAGAAAGCGGAATTCTCCATTGCACTATTCTCCAACTTCTCCTGGTCACATCACTCACAGTATTTGGAAAGATGGCAACTTTTTTGATTCAACCCCTCAAATGTGGGTATCTTGTTTTATCCTTTCAGAACATAGATGACATATATAGATATACATATATACACATACATAAACAGAAG